TCCCCCCCCCCCCCCCCCCCCCCCATAAACAATAAATCAACATAGGTTTGAGTGGATTTAGTGGATTTACAACTCGTATGGGAAGTTCTTGTTATTACTTTATAAATATTTCTATACAATTTTAAAACTCTGAAACCGCGATCAGAGCTGTAACATTGACGCTTGAAGTTGAAGAGATGCAAGATAGCGTAGACTTACGAAATCTCGTTTCAAGTATCATGTGTGGAGGTTCTCAACTCGAAATGACAGCGGATGAGCGATGTCCCAAGGGCATCTCCCGTTTCCCATCACACAATGTTTCCCTATTGCATCGATCTACGTTAAGTGAAATGATCGTGAATCCCTCTTCCCCCCTGCTCGAGGTCCTGGAAGGATGAGATGGTGCCAGTTCCTAAAAAGCAGGGAAGCTACGACAGCAGTGAACTGACAAAAGCAGCAAATGCGCCATCTCATACGTTTGAATTCTTAAAAACCATTTGCTTGTCGTCGTATATACCTCGTAGTTGCTCCTGTCTTACAGTGATTTCATGATGAGTTCGCTCTCTCTTAAAATGTAAACCAATGTTTTCGATGGGCTTCCCGACGCCAGCAGAATTAACCAGTTTCCTTCGGTCTTACATATGACATGAACTGGTATTCGGTAGATGTCCCTAGAGCCGAAACACTTTTAGCGCCCGTGCCCTGAAAGGGGTGCATACATTCTTTGCGAAATCACTGTTCAGTCTTCAATGCCTGAACTTGAGTGAGCTAGAGGCAGCGACCACTGATATCCCTGGAATTCCATGACCTCGATCCCATGAACCTTTGCCCGCCAATCTGAGTGACAGTGGTCACATGATCTCGCTCTCTTTACGCGCTCAGATCCCTGATGTAGTGTGATGATGTTCCCAAGAGCGACTGTCCTCAATTTTTCATAGTCACCTATGAAAAATTGAGGATTGTCGCTCGTCTCGTGAAGGACCATCCTATTATCAAGGAATAGCATCATTATTCAGCCGTTGAAAAGATGAAGAAAGCTGACATGCTCTTTTGAAATTTATCATGGAAGTAATTGTTACTCATTCGATTCAAAATTGCCTTATGTGAAACCTAAACTCGTCCAATTTAAGTTTTTTTTCGCTTTGTCAAGGTTATCAATGTATTAATCGAAGGGGTGGTATGCAGAGCTGTACCGAGGGGGCTGCGAGCGGTACGCCCGCACAGCTGGCGCCGATTGACTGCCAAATCACTACAATATATGAATAAAACTTTAAAATATTGCAAATTATCGTGAATTTAACTAAATTAAACATAGAAATTAATACGTAATGTATTGTTGGTGCTGGGGCCGCTGGAGAGGTATATGGGGGGAGCGCTGAATTGATATCTCGGGGGGGGGGGGGGGGGGGGAAGAAATTTTCCTGACAATCAGGACTCGCTTTCTTCGTTGGTTTTTTTTTTTACGGGAGTTTGAAACTTAGTACACTCCTGGCGTTGGTGCTGGGGCCGCTGGAGAGGTATATGGGGGGGGGCAAGATATCTTGCACAGGGCGCTCAATATCCTTGGTGCGGCTCTAATGGTATGCAAGTCAGGACAGGATATACTTTGGCCTCATAGTAGGCTCATTTACTGACAAGCGACCATCGCTTAGGGCTGCTTCTGTATTACCCCAGTGCTCTTTCCCGATAGTGTTGCAATGTATGGAAATTCCGGAGGTGTTATCTCAAAAGGGCATAACCGTTAGTGAACATACCACAGACACGGCGTCTGCAATGATACTTGTGGCTAGGATAGCGAAAGAATTCAGACTCTCATGGAAGATAATGGCTCTTTCCCTACTCTTGTCTTTTCCGTTTGGAATCTGGTGCATTTTCCATTCTTCATTGTATCAGTCTTCCTTCGCAGTGACGTCGGGATTAATGAAATGATTTGAAGAATATGGTCCAAATCATGGTTCACGAAATTTTTTTTAAATAAATGCTTTAATCACTTCATTTCTCTTGGTGTAGTCTTACTATTATAATGAGTTAGGCTACTAGCATACGATCTCAACTCACTAAAGGTCAGCTTGAATAATGTTCTATTCACTTCCTCCGCTCGAGTTGACCAATTTTTTATTCTTTTTTTCAATGAAAAAGATGGACCACTTACATTTGTATCGAATTAAGTGCAAGTTTTAGCATTGATTAGTTATTTAAGGCCAAAAAAAAATAAGAAATCAAAATTACTTTTTACTGAACTTCATTATTCTGATGATTTCATTCACACCGTTTCAAGTGATGTGATTGAAATAAATATAGAATATTTGATTTTACGGGACTTAGCCCTCTTCTGGTACGTTGAGAGTGTAAAAAAAAGCGCTTGCTCTGAAAGGACCTGCAGGAATAGATTTTGAGTAAGGCGAACCATGGGCATATCCTCGTTTCGTCCCGGCAGTAATTGCCATCCTCGTTTGTCGGCTCCGCCGAGAAGAATGAATGTGGGAGAGAGAGAGAGGAGGGGGAGAGGAAAAGAAAAGACAAAAGAAAAGAGTAGGGAACCCTTTTGAAATACGAGTGGGTTCCCTGATGACAAATGCGGTATCTCGGTCGAGGTTGACAATCTGGCCCAGGACCTCCTGTCGATTGCTATGACATCTCCATCTCTCTTTCTTCACTCTCAGACCTCGTTATAGAGTATCTACCCCTTTTCCTTCCCTTTTACCGCGGTTTCGTAACCCGCTCACGCGCCGATACACCCTTCGTTTTTCAAAGAGTCATCTCGCTCGACCCTGTAAATCCAGTTAATGGGAAGAGTCCTTGCGGAGACTCTCCTGTTCTTTATGAAGAATATGACGATGTTCTTCGGGCAAGCCCCAGCAGAAACATATTTCGCTCGGTGAAAAGTGAGGAAGGCTTGCACGAGGAGAAAATATGCATATGTATACATACATGTGGCTTGAACGGGCGAAAATAATGAAAAGTAAAATATATGGAAGGCAATGGAAAATAAGAAACGATGGAAGCATAATTTGGAATACAATGTGAATAAAATAAACGATAAATGTAATCGGACCTATTTAAAAAAAAAAGAACATTATTCAACGACACTTCGACCAACTTCAGAAAACTGGAGATACACTGACTTGAGGATGGATTAGAAGTCCCGAGAAGAGGTAGTCTGGGGTCGGAATACGGCCACCCAGGGTGCGTCCCCCGGCGCATACCATGCATTCATGCATACGCAATCTCATAAAGGCCCAACATCGCATCGCATTTATCGCATGCTCGTGTAAGCACGTGCCTTCATGAATCCGCGACTCCTGAAATCTCTTCGCTCGCGTGCCATCACGGCTTAATTAGGACTAGGAAATGAATGAGGTCGTGAGTCAAATATGGAAAGAAGTATTCAACAAAAAAAAGAAAGGGGGGAAGGGAAAGGAGAGAAAAAAAGTCGCTCTCTGACCCCATTGAACCCAAAGCTGACTCAACAGGATCCCCTAGTCTCTTGTCCCTTTAATACTTCGTATGTTCTATCACGTGTATTTTAATTTCTAGGCCCTATTGTTCAATTCGATTTTACTGCGTGTTTGAGGAAATACCTTCCATAGCTTCCCATGAGACGCAAAGAAGTTATTTGGGCAAAGATAAGACATGATAATAAGTTTAATGTAATAAAGCGTCATGTGAACTTGGCAAACTTTGCATTTCTGCGTAAGATATTCTCTGCACTACAGGGTATGCATTAACCAGGCAGATTTTCGTCATATCGAAATGCTCGGGAAGTCATCCGAACGCCTTCTATGGACACTGACAGTAGTGTTAAACAAAATGCCCATAAGCTTTCAGAATGTCGACATGCAAGTCACTTCCAGTTCTCTGGAAAACAGTGACAGAGATCAAAGCTCCCCAGGCTCATTTGGAAATGGAGTAATCCATGCCACGCAATTCTGCCGGACTGTCACAAGTCAGGGTTCATAATCTCTGGTCAAACAGTCTGAGGAGACTTCGTTTCCTCATCAGATCATGATGTCGTATGACCACTTCTCGAACAGAATAGCGAATCGTTGATGCAGATTTGATGCAGTCAATTGCTAATATTGTCGAATCTTCCGCTACTGATTCTTGCAAAAAATTTTCCCTTCCATCCGTACAATTTTTTTATTTTATCGTTTCTGAAGGAGCTCGTCTTACATAATCATGACATTTTCATGTCGTACGTGAGGTGTGACAATCATTCTTTTCTGACTCCTGAAGGGCTAGGGGGGTGAATTTCAATTGGAATTTTATTCGAATTCGACTCGAAACCTTTGAAGTTTTATTCATATTTTTATTTTTATTTTCTAAACCTCTAAGTCAAACTATTCATGCAAAAGACTTGGGATTGTGGCATCAAGATTCGATTTACCAAAGCTCCAATCACTGATTTGCAGCTACGTGAGGATTGAGTTGTCGATTTGATCGGAAATTTTCTCTTGTTCTACTTGTAGACGATTGGATGAATCAGAGAAGCGGCCCTTCGTAGAAGAGGCGGAGAGGTTGAGACGAGTGCATCGGAAAATGCACCCGGATTACAAGTATCAACCGAGGAGGAAGAATGCCAATGCGACCAAGAACCTTCAAGCCAAAGACAGCGAGACTAAGTCCGTTCCTCATCGCTTAGCCTTTTGAGAGATTTTTCTATTGCAAATGCGGGAATGAGAAACCTTTTACTTATTTCTTCACAGGAGCAGTCAATCCTGCGCGAATCAGAGAAAGAAGTCACGGACCATTCCTTCTGCTGGTATGTTTCACACCGTCTTTATCATATAGCATTCTAAGAAGAAAAAATTTCAACTTAACGGGCGGGACAGGCTCATCCTTCTTTGTTTCATCGCCCTGTCGAGACTCCCGCGACGGTTGTCACGCCATACTGTATATGAAAGAAACCTCAGTGTTCTCCGACGACATGAAACTCGCCGTGATCACGGCAAGGAATTCCGAACGATGAAAGGAAAAGAAAAGGTGTATAGCAGTTCGAAAAGCTTCGAGGAAGCACCGATTTTTTTCTCTTTAATTCCATATTTAAATTGTGCAATATAGTGTCTGATATCTGCAGGCGAATAAACTGACAAATGTTGAAATGTGAAGGACACCCGGTTATAGTTGCCCGTCGCAGTGACAGTTCTTTTTCTCGAAACAAAACAAGCCTCAATTTCCCTTAGATACAAGCCTGAGAAAAAATGCATGGAAATCCCAGTCCAGTAGTTGGAAGGGGAATCTATTCATGTCAGAGCGTCAAGGTGACCATAAGTGGCACATTTCTACCGATAATTTCACTTTTCTCAGAAGTGAAGATCATACTTAAAAATCTTGAGTCAGCGTTGGCGCCTGAGAACTATGATTACCACTATTGGAGTAATTTAGGCTTCATCCATGTTTTGAGCCTATTGAGGAGAAAATCGACGCCAGGAAGTTAGTCCGTCTCTTTCTCCGATGGAATTCTCATTATTCGAATTGAATGTCCAGGATACGAAATTCTACTGTAGAGAGAGAGGTTGAGGGGAGAACAGACACTCGTTCGAATTCGCAGTTACCACGCCGAAGGGTTAGACCTACGAACGGCTAGGGTAAAACCACCTAAGTTCGGACACTAACGTTTATTGTTAATGAATACGCATTCGCGCGATCGACATCAGAAAGAGTTCATCTTAACCCAAGATGACCATGTTACTGAGCGAAAGACTTGCGGTGGCCACGATCGTTGAACACGATTTCGAAATATCAGGCAGAAACGAATGTCATGTCGCGGACAGGACAAGAAAACGTACGGAGACGACCTTACTTGAGAAACGCTTCCCCCGAGGTATTGTTAATTCTGTGATTAGTTCTTATTCCACAGAAAACTAGGGAACGTAGAGCACTGCTACAAGGGAATACGCATGCCATGAGCAGATATCCGCCTTACTTCTAGTGTGTCCAAACTACGTTGTGTTCGAACTTCATTTTTTCGCATCTAAGTTCGGACACCCACATAATAGGAATCATTGGAAGCCATAAGGCTTCGATGGTCATCATCTTTACCCCGCTTATACCTACTCATATTGTGCTGCCGGACGCAAAAAAATGAAGCATCTGGGTTGTAGCATTAAGGCGTGACGAGCGAATTACAATCCTATCCCGGCTTAATTGTCCGAACATTGGTGGTCTTACCCTATAAAAATCCATTTGTGGCATATTCTTTACTTGAGGACGAGAGAAGGAAATATTCGATTCACACTCCCCAGTGGAGAGGATTGGCACGTTAGTTAGACCCTGCTAAACGGAATGAGAAAAACGACGGCCTGGGGACAGATGCGAGCTGCGACCATGTGGGCTAACTCAGCGATCGAGACTGAACGAGGATAGCTGAGAAGACCCTTTTTTGTTTCGTCTCATTATCATTTTTTCTCATACTATCGGGGTAAGTCGTTACACCGAGAATACAATTTAATTTTTCTCAGCCTCATCGTCATGAATGCGTGTGCGCATTCATGACGATGAATTTAACCATAACAGATAACAGAAAAGAACAGTCGGAGTTGGGCTCCATTTAAGGAATTCGCCCTAGCACAAAGATTAAACGCTCGGTATTAATGTTGTGTGCACCATTTTGCTGTGCAATCATTGAACTCTCACTAGGTTCGTCGAAATGGGGGAGGCTGCATTCTGTTTTGCATCTGAGCTGGGTTGTAACTACTTGCGAAGAAAATAAGAGTGATTTCCCCCTGACGCATCATTCCACCTGTGGCTGAGGCTGACGTCAGCAGGAGAAACCAGTGAAGAAAGGCATTGAATGATCTTGGGCCTGAGCCATATTTCACATTTTGCTCTTTTGCGTGCAAGCACTTTTATAATGTTCCAAGTTCCGAAAACCGACGGTTAGAAACGAACCTATCCAAGATGATGGATGGGATCCCGCGTACTTCAACGCCTCTTGCGGATTTCTGCCACTAGATTTATTCCTAGTCGAGGAATTCTGCTCATCAGAATTGCATCACGAAAACTTGAAAATCTAGAAACATCCTTCTTTCCGATTGGCGATCGTGATTCGTGCCAAAATTGCCCTCGGTGAGCCAATATTGCCATTAAAAGGCATTTCACCTGCTTCTGCGTCTTGATATCGGATGTCCATCGACTCCACATCGTGGCAGTGATTCCATGAGGAAGCTTTATTGTCAGACGAACGGAATCGTTTGAAGAATGCTAACTAATTCAGTTCAAAGTCATTGTGTCATTTGATGAGGGTTTCCAAGAATATTTAACGGGAGCCTGCTGCTACTGCGTTAATGGATTTCTCAGAATCTTGGTTTCTTTCTGTCTTGGCTATGGGAAATAATAATAAATCCTCCATTTGAATTTTTGCCGCTTCGGTCAGGATCTTTCGCAGGATTTTTGCGAAAGAAAACAGAGAATTGATCCTTCAAAGTTTCAAATGAATGTCATTGTAACCTCTGAAATATGTCGTATACGTAAGTATACGTATAAATATACGTAAGCTTCTTACGCGACGAATTCTTTGCATGACATGATTGGATTAAACATCTGCTCAACCGCAACTCATTACGGCACAGTTCATCAGAGCGAGCTTGCATGCTTCCAGAGCGTTTCCAGAGCATTTTAAACCCAATTATACCATATGAGACTGGTAACTCTAATGAGCGTCTGCTAATTTTGTTGATTCTTTGGCGAAGACCCGAGGCCTAACTTGAGTAATTCTATAGGACAATCGGGATAAGTTCCAGAATACTCATACTCTGGGGGGTTGTCTTAAAACACTCCAAGTGTCACTCTTCAATGTAGATCCGTGCATTGAGAATGACATCGGGATGCTGGCAACATACCCCATCATGTATCATCCATTTGCTATGGTCACTGATGCTCAAGTTTCATCGCCCTGGCTTTTTCTCGACAGGACCTGGAGGAGGAGGAGGGATGAGTATGATGGGGGAAAACGGAGGAGGAGTGCATCCTGGGGGTGCTCTCCCACCGCCACCCTCTGGGGGTGGGGCCATAGACTTCAGCCACGTGAACATGGTGGAATATTTCCCGAGTGAGGGCTGCACCTTCGACGAGACCGAGATCGACCAATACCTGTCCCCGAACAATTCCTCATCTTCCTCTTCTACGGCCTCCATGGTCTCCCCCTTGGATCACCCTCACCCTCATTCTCACCATCACCACCACTGGGCACCCCACTATCACCACTGGGGCGGGTATACGGGCGGAGGTCCCGCCCCACCCCGCCCGTTTCAGACGGACCCCACCGGTTCTCCACCGGTGTACCATGGCTACCCGGCCGGTGCACCCGGCTTTCAGACACCCTGGAACTGAACGAATCCTGCGATTCCTGACCACTCGTGTTCAGTTCCTCGACGGTGTACAGCCTCATCCTCAGTTTAGACACGTCTGGTGAAGTCGGTGAATCTCTCCCCTGCTATTTAATTGAGGCATCAGTTGCTGAGCGACTCCACGAAAAAGGAACGAAAGAAAACGGTGCCTCTTGTGTATTCTTTCGTAATTCTGATGGTGTGTATCCTTTCAGATGCAATCCTTTTTTTCCCCCCAGAAGAGAATAAACGAGATGTCTTTCCAATCTTGTAGGACTTATTTCAATTTTAGCTGCCATTTTTCTAGAACTTCCAGGGTGACACGCACAGAAGGATCAATCTTCCAACAACCGGCATTTTGCATGAATATTACGATGCCCTTCAAAATTTCGCATTCTACTTTCGTGCTTGCATGCACGGTGGTGTGAGAGATTCACATGCCATTTCTGCCCCGGGAAAAATAAAGGTTTCATAATTACGACAATGTCCCATTGCGGTTTTCACGGTTCGCAGAATACAGCACAAGAGGCATTTTACCTTTAAATACTAGAGCTCATAACCTAAGATGTCGGGTTGGAATCGGTACGTTATGGTATACGCCAAAAGAGATGACAGGAGGAGAGAGGTAGAAAATGAGATGGGGAAAATCAGGCTGGAATGGGACTCTATAGTGCGAGCCTCAGAATTCCATTTCATTTCAGCCCGTTTCGCTTCAGGTCTCCCCACCTCTCTACGGTCGTCTCTCGTAGAAACGAACATACATGCAGTGTATTCTCATTCCATTCAATGCGTGACAAGAAAGGAGGATGGAATCATTTTGATGGACGCAAATTAAACTCGGGTGGCCAGGCTCTGTAGATTTTTCGGTTTGTCGAGAATGTCTTGGGGGCGGAAAAATATTAGAAAAGCATGTTATTTTTTCAGTCAAAGATACGGGTTCTGAGTCTCATTCTAAATGAGATATGATGCTGGGAAGAAAATGCAAGCTTTTTCCCATAAATTCTTTCTGCCTCATGACGTCAGCTGAAAGCGCTTCATTGATAAGTTCTTGCGGATAAGTCGTGCTTGTATTCCAGACGGGTTCAGCGTCCTATTTTCCAGAATTTTTTTTTATACTTAAGGTATACTTTTTATACACAACATTCGAAATGATGAATTGACTTATAAAGGTGGCAACAATCACCCTTGAGCAATGACAGAGATTTTCATTAAAAGTCCCGCATAATTTATTTTCCTGAAGCTGTGTCTTTGAATGAAGAAAAATGTCGGATGTGAAATTTAATGAACCCCTAAGAACAAGTCACTCGCTTTTGTTTTCGGATTTCTGTGATGTATGGAAGCCCATCATTTTAGTTTTACCTCATTTTTCACAGGGTAAGGCAAAACCTGAAAGGGTTTGAAGGGTTAATTTTAATATCAGTTAACCCTGTAACTACTAGAACCCAGATGGTCATACGTTTATCTCTTTTTCATCTTTTAGTTCCCAAAGAATCTCTTCAAAATACTATCACATCTTCATGAAAATACATCAAGGATCGAACTTTTCAAAATCACAACCAACACAAATGGCTAAATTTTTGTATCAGAACGGTAGTTACAGAATTAAGAAATACTTTTTTTGCGACATCGTCGAATGTGTCATGTTCCGAAAGTTATTTGCAAATACGAGTAAGTCTGCTCGTTTCTCTTCAGCTGTTTGCTGTTCAACCCAGATCATCATTCAAATTTGAAAAATCGACGACATATTTTCACTCCCGAGCTCAGCCGAGATCATCCCAAGATGGCATCCAGGTGTTATGAGAGATCTTTTTGCGTTTCAATCATATAAATGACTATCATTCAAGTGGTACTCCTTGATAAGATAGAAACGAATAAATTATTTCGCTATTTTGAAATAATATTCAAATTTACTTGCACCTTGAGTGACTAGAGGTCATGAACTTTTGTATGGAATGCAATGCACACAAATTTGTTGAAATTATTTTCGAAGGAATTTTCTCCGGATCACTCGGCACGGACAAGCCCCTCTTGCAATTACCATTACCATACAATTACCATATAATCGCCATGCAATTGTTGCGAAGTGATGAGCCAACAAATTTGAAGGGAAAAGTGGCAAACCTGTTGCGGCTCTTTACAGAAAAATCGTGGCGAATACCGTAGATGGGAAACCTCAGAAACCCAAAACCGGCATTTTTAAATCTGGTTCTCTCGTTACAGGTCCTCTAAGATCCGAATTTCCAGTTTTCCCAGCTCCTCAAATCTCTGCTGTGTCTCGAGGAGTATGACGTCTGGAAAGCTCTGTAATAGCTTATCTTACGTATTTTATGATTGAGGCTGTATCCAAAAAAGTTTCGTAAGTTATATTGCCATGAAAATTTGAACGTCGAAATTGTATAACATTTCAATTTTTTGCAGTCAATTGTTTTCGTGCTGTGGGGTCGTTGTGGACCACACCTAGACAGATTTTCATTCCATCTACTACGAGGAAGTTGCAGTTGAAAAAGCAAATTTCACGTCTTGCCAATTCTCACCAGCAAAATTCCCGTACCTGCGTAGTGGAGCATTTTTCAGAAGAAATCTGTTCACTCCGTCACTAGCACCTATCTTTCGTGAACGAAACAGTAACAGTTTCGTGCTTCTTGTCCCCCCCCCNCTCCTTTTTTTCCCCCCCCCCCCCCCCCGCAGATTTGTGTGATCAACGAATGTGACAAGTGGTAATACAGGGCTTTGTTCCCTAGATGAGAATGATGGGTGTCATTCGAAAATATTCCTCGGCCCGCACCCGAAAGCGACCTCGAAGAATGCGGGCGATCTGTCGAGAGAGAATCCAGAAATCCAGGAGAATTCGGAGATGCGAACCGGTCACGATGGAACGAAAAAAACCCCCATCAACTCGCGAATCAGTCATTTCGCGTCGCCACGCCGCTCTGAAGGCTCCCAGGAGTTTCGTGCATCCATTGAATCGTCCCAGTAAGCCTTGTAAAGCTCATCGAGAATCTTGCGACTCTCCCTCGACAGATCGCCCTCGTTCTTGAATGTCGCCTTCGCGTCGGGATGCCATAGACCTGCAATGAAACGTATTGCGTTTGAAATACACGGAATTCACGCCTTAGAAACGCCGCCTCCAAGCGATTTCTTCCTGTAGATAAGACGCGAGGTCGATGGCCCGACGTCTGGAAGAAACTCAACTGTCGCAAAATTCGTTCAACTGATTGATAGAAGAAAATATGGCGCTTTTTTAATAGAGAAAAGCGCAGTCCTATCTCGAGCCGACCTTTGCAATGAGGCAGCACCGCCCGCCCTCCGTCTTCTTCGGCGCAAGAGAGAATATACGCAGGTGAATAAAATTAAAATTAAAACACCGATAACCGATCGCCTATGAAACCAAGAGCCCGATAAGCAACAAGCTAAGTGAAATGAAATTCAATGGCGAGCCTCCTCGAGTGAACCGTTAAAACTACGGTACAGGTCGAACATCGGGCGATCCCATGACGAAAGCAGAAGAGAATACAAGAGGATACATGCATAGAGATACGTCTCGACCGTCCGTGAGACGCGGAGGGAGTGCCAGACGACTCAAAGCGACGCTGCTCTTACGGAGTTTACTCATATCCCCAAATCACTTTCAATAAATTAACATCCGTAGATGCTTCAGAAAGATTTCGGATTAGAAACATTTCTCAGACACTTTCAACGGTACAAACATGCCGTTCGGAGAGCAGCACCCCCCAACTAGACGCAGACACCCAACCGATCGCATTCGAGGCCTCATTCACGAAGCGGAAGCCTAACGACGAGCTTGTGCACTGACGAGTGGCGAAGCCGGAATGGGGCATGATCGGGCACGATCCTCAGGCGCGCGAGAGCGTACGCCCTCTATCGTGTCGGGTACGAATCCCTCTGACCTCTCGGTTCCTCACAGATGACGTCACGGTCGCTTCCACTCTTAAGAATTCCACTGAACTGCGATTCTATTGTTTTTAGTATGCTTTTGAATTCCGCCGGTCTTCCTGCTTCATTTTTTTTCAGATCGCAGCCTGTCCTCAGCGGGTTACGATGGCATATATCTGCCTGTCAGCCCCTGAGCGACCCATTATCGATGCTCACTGGAGTGGAATTAATTTCATCCGAAGTACAAATGTTGGACGAGTCAAATCTCGAAAGTTCTCTGCATGTGGATACGTGCAATACGGGACGCACTCATATTTTTTCCCATCGATCGCCTCAAAAATTTCGGAACACGAAGCACGCCAAAGTTTTGGAAGTTGCCCTTTGGCGTAGTGAAGAAAGGGCAGAGCGATGGAAAACGTCTTAGATCTCCGACAAATTAACATCCCCGTGGAATCTGCTTCTCTAAGCTGAATCTTTTTTTCTGAAACAGAAGTCGCCATGCTGTACGAAGAATCACGATAATGATTTCCTCAATTAGGTCGCGTCTGTTCTCTGTTATTCCGCCATTGCAGAGATCCGAGAGACGAAAAATGTTTACCATCTGACCTCGGAATTTTTTCATCATCAAATCAAATTCAGATAAATTTGGGGATGTGGCATTTTATGCAAAAGTTTCAGATCTCTAGCCCATGATAATATTTTTTTCATGAAATAAAGAGTCATTTTGCTCTTAATTTTATGAGTACCACACGCGCAACAAACATCGATAAGATGGAAATGCAAACTGATGATCTTAAACCAGCTTAATTGCGAAGAGAACGAGCCACCTTCCCCGCATTCGAGCGACGTTCTAAGCCGAACATCGAAAGAAATTTCCAGGCATTTCGTCACATTCGCCACTCCGCACACCGAATTTCCAATCACCGCCCAAATCCGACTGTTTCAATCCTCGAACTGTCCATTCACCATTTGTAAAGTGAAAGATACTCCGTGCACGAAATGCGTCACTCCGGATGCGGCCTCCCACATGGGTCCACGGCATGCATTTCACTGCACGCTCATCAATGCTCTACGAAATCCATTATGCATTTCGTGCAAGCCTCAATTCCTTTTACTCTACAAGGGTACTTGATGTTCCTCCCCCCCCCCCCTCCACCCCCTCCCCTCCCGTTTATAAAGCTTTATGAATACCTGCCCACCCACTCCCCCGCATTCTCCCGTTCCTTCCGCGAGACAATGTGGGTGTGGAAGGCTGGAATTTACCCAAGACTTCTTGGACTGGACCTGGACCTGGACCTGGACCTGGACCTGGACCTGGACCTGGACCTGGACCTGGACCTGGACCTGGACC